TTTGACGTAATCCGTGTATCTATACTTTGATAACACACGAAAGCCAACCAATCAAAACGTCTGATTTTACTGAAAAGTTGTATAATCTCTGTTCACGGAATACTGAATGTCATTTATCATTAAACCAATAAACGTTCAGTTCAGACGTCATAGCGAAACAGTCCAATCAAAAATGGTAATGACAATGAATTCTACTCACCTTGCAGAACTCCAGAGAACAGTGGGCGAAGATTATCAAAGGTATGCATACTGATACTTTGAAAGAGCTCAAAGTCAAGCACCGTTGCGGCACCGGACGGGTCATTCATGACGTCTCTCAAAGCCTGAACTGACTTYCTCAWAACACGATAGAAATGTCTTCTTGAYAGAGAATCCAGTAATAATATGACGACGTTAGGTTTACGGTCCAAGTTTTCCGTTAAAATGAGTTTTGGCGGGAAAAGAATGACTTGTGTAAACYCGCCGCACTTGATTAAACAAAAAGTCCCACCTTCTGCTTGTATTTTATTGACGAATTTCTGTGCATTTTCGGTTGTGAATGGAGATATTGCCTGCCAATGATTTACCGTGCCATGCCGTGGATCTAGTCGAGCCATATAGACTATATMGTCTCCACAAAAACTCTCTGAGCATTGCAGCTTGGGCGGCTGCGTGTCGGTGAACCAGCAAATGTCAGGGGTAGGAAGCGGTGTGCAGTTYCTAGTTACCAGGTCTTCAAAGGGGCTACCAAAATACTTGTTAGCTTCACGRCATGCATTGACGGATGGTCTAAATAACAGAATTAGATCAGACAAACGATTTGATAGGTACTTCTCCCTTGTCCCATTGCATATATATTAAACTTAATACTGGCTTAAACAGAGAGTACTGCAGGGGCCTTCAGTTTCAATTATTGACATAGTAATAACTGTTAAAAGATGTGATGTTTCAGAAGGCTTATACCTATTGTTATTGCAGTTGAAAGTTGTACCTTGATTGATGAATTTGTTTTTAATTAAGTAATGATACTCATCAAAACCTCATGTAGCTATTTATGAATATAGATACAAAAACGAATCAAAACTTTATAAGCGTTGTGGGGACACGAAGAAAGCAAGGTACACATTCTTACTTGTGAATGAGACACTCGCTATGGTCTTCAGTCTCTTCAGTCACGATCTCTCGTCGTAATCTTGTATAGTGACATTCGGGTGGCCAGAATTCTAGTTTTCGAACTTTTATGATCTTCCCTGGCCTCAAACCTMGAATATTAGGGACGACCCATTAGAAAAGTGATGGGGGAAGGGAGGAAGTGGGGAGGGGGGAGGGGCAAAAGCAAAAAAAAAAATATTTCCAATGAAAATTTTGGAAAAACGTCTGCCTTGGCATTTTTTCAGAAAAAAAATCTTGCCATGGAAAGGATTGTATATATATCCAATAATTCTGTTAAAAAAATATATTGCCAGCAAAGAAGTCCAAAAAACATTTTTTTTCTATTTTTCATATAAAAAAAACTAGCAAGGTCACTACCACTAACAAAAAACAGCAACAAAAACAACAGATAGCCGATGTGAACAACAACAGCAGCAGCAACAATACTGAATCGAAACTATGACAACAACAGTAATTACAACAGGTACAACAGGAACGTTAAGTAGTCAAATTGAAATTAATAAGTCATTTTTCTGAAAACAGAGAATTCCCCCCTTTCAATATTTCTGACTATACATTGTTCTTGGATACGGTCTATTTAAAGTAACAGTGATTAAATAAATAAGCTGAAAACAAGACAAATAAACTGACCTAAGAAGCCGCGTACTTTGTATTCCACGTATTTTATGCTCTTGGCTATTGTCTAGTAGTTGTTAGTTTGCAACACGAGCAAAAATGTTATCATTGAGAAAAAACACATTTCGATTTCGTCAGTATTTCAGTTTCTAGCAATATGAATACATTGGAAAGGACAAAAACAAACCGGAACTCTGAGTCAGAGTTTYGGATTTTTAACGCATCCTTATTACTTAAATTACAAATGCATTATTTAGTCTCTAAGATAACATTTCTGMAGTCAAATGTAGTATCCCTTAGATACCTCTGAGAATCAAGTACAATGCCATCACCCCAGCAAATGTAATCATGAAYCTCTTCGCTAGTCTCCTCATTCCAGACTAAAAATATAAACAATAATAATAATGATCATAATAAACATCTACAGACTCCTTTACACTCCACGCAGATGTCTCTCAAAACTTTAACAAGTCACGATGCAAAGATTTCTCAGCTGTTTGCCAAWWTCTCTTACATTTCAAACAAGAATGCCAAAACTCGTTTATCACAAATTCTCTTTTTTCAATCTTCAAACCCACTTTTAATAAATAATAATAATTTCGTTAAACAACATTGTATCATAACCACAATTAAAGAAGGCAGTTTATTGAAAGATCCTTTCGATGTGAGTTAAGTGCTWTATATTAACGATCGTGTGACAYTGTCGCCTCGCCATGTGCATGATAAATTCACGCATGCAAYAAATGAATGTGGCGAGGGATTTCCCTTTCAAGATTGCTTCATTATTCTAGACAGAGATCGATTCAGACAMAGATATAAATTTCAACTCAGGGAAGCCATGATTTGTCTAAAAGAAACCAACAAATCTTCCTTTATTCATAATTTAGTTCAATATATACACAACATTTTCACGTATGTCCAACATGCCCGTCTATATACATTTACATACATTACATACACGGACATACACGCGATATCAACGATATTTCTTAAACGTCTCTGACAATAAAACGACCTACTATGTTTTAAATTGTGTTTGCTTCTTAAACGTTAAGAATTTGCTATAATCAAGCCACGAAAGGAATCATATAAAAGAGTTATATATTGTACAGTAATGCACAGACAGACAAAGGTCATGCTACCAAGTAACCGTCCTTTTATTGTTCGTGTTTCTCGTCTCTCTCGAGTTTACTCGATCACTCTCTTCGCATTGCTTTTAAGTTCAATGTTCACTACTGTTTGTATGCTATGTTCTCAGTCTGTATATTCGTTGGTGCTTCGCGCGGGATAYGGTATATACAGTCTGTGACTTCTAGAGGTTTTATATCTATGGATACATTACCTGTGAGTTTCTTAGTAYCCTCTAGCGATAGTCTTTGAATTCTGTAAGATCGGTATTTGCTGKTTTAAGTAGCATCTACTGATTATTCAGATCTGCTCAAATTTTCTGTTCAAAATGTCTCTTCAGCTTATTTGCTTTTTAAAATTTGCATACCAACAAAATTTACCTTTGCAGTCACGTGATATTTCAGGTGAAAAAACGTCCTATCGAATTTCAGAAGCTCAAAGTACAATGGAACTTATAGCTGGAAGGGGGGTGAATAGGTTTTTGGATCGGCGGATCTGGGCCTCAAATGGGACGGGGATTACGGATTTAAAGAAAAAATAGAGCGGATTGCCGGAAAACGTACCGGATCACGGATTTAATGAAAATTTAACGTCGGATTTCGGATTCTATAATGGCGATAATCGTGACTGCGAATTTTGCCGATTATCGACTTAAAAAAATCACATAAGAAGTCCCTAAGAGGCTCTGCGCTGTGTGGAAACGTCTTCTCTGAGCTTATTATGGCAAATATATGGCGTCAGCGGGTCTTAAATTAGCAGAAATTTATGATTTTCTTATTATCGATTGCTATCATGATTTGGGATTCGGATTAAAGCAAAATTTTGCGCGGATCGGTGGATTTTAGAAAAAGAATGAGTGGATCGGCGGATTCGTAGACCCCTATTCACCCCCTTGAACTGTTTTAACGTGTTCAAAACTACACGTATCTTCGAAGTTTTTTTTTAGAGTTCGTAAAGCTTCTAGTTACTCAGTGAATTATTTGCGAATGAATCTGCGTAATATTTGGTAAAGAGTGTTCGCGAAATCCAAAGACGACTTTTCACATTTCTTCCAACATGACGGATCAGTGCTAGATACTTAAAAGGATTCTGAGAGATGCAAGTCGAATACTTTTGATCATTTTTTACTATAGTATACTTACCATGAATGCAAGAGATATGATTAGCTTTTAGCCCTTTTAGTCAAACTGTGAAAGAACAATTAAATAACAATTTAGGTAACGTGTCACAATTTAGGTAACGTGTCACATAATTGTAAAAGTGCGTGCGTGAAAGCAATCGTCGAGAAAATCTGCATAAGTCCACTTTTTAAAAAATCGTCATCAAAAGATCCAGCTGGTTATTAATATTTAAATAGCGCTTATATATCTTTTTCTAAGCGCAAATATATAAAAATAAAAATAAAAAGTTAAAGTAGAGTTACAGATCATAAGTTTTTTTTACCAGCCTTAAAGCAGTTAGTTTAGTCCACTGGAATGATCCTTTCCTAATTATATATGGCATTATTTAATTCATTACCTCGCTGTGCAAGCAGATGATTTTACGTCGGCTAAACGAAATAAAACGATCAGAACGTAAAGACACGCGATCATGCCACCTGCCAATGCCCACACGTGAATATATGAACACATACATGCATCACTCTTGAGGTGCTTTTGTGAAGATTGCTTCATTATACTAAAAAAGATGACACGAAATGTCAATCCAACTATGAAACAAGCTATTCACAAATGTTTCAGGAGGAGCCGACGGTTTCCTGGGAGAAGTATATCTTTTCTTATGTCCCAGCCAGCTGTAAGTCACAACTATTTGCCAGCGAGAAATTTAGGAAAAGAGAACTCTCCAGGCAAGGAATATTTTCTAAGAACTAAAAAAATATAAGCCATTTTTGGAYATAAAAACGTTATAGAAGCAGTTTTTGACCTCACAAACAGGAACAAATAAATATTCTAAAGAAGGGAGGGCGCCASATTTGCWTGTAAGATTGTCAACAATAGAGCTCAAAATCCCTTTCCCAGGAAAAAATCGTTCAAGAACAGCTATTTAGAAGAACAGACCCCGTCGGCTCCTCCTGTGTCAGGTTTTCGACTTCTCTTATGCCATTTTTTATCCATGTAGTTAATATACACAACATTTTCACGTGATATCATATACACGTAGAATATATACGTAGAATGAAATAAAACAATTTCTGTCAGTATTGTGACGTGTCGGCACTTCGGCCTTCTTCAGCAAAACTGAGTGCTTTGCACGCGCGCCACTCTCTATAAATCCTAACAACTATAATATATRTATATATTGCTGAAGAAGGCCGAAGTGYCGAAACGTCCATCAAAACAGAGATATTAAAGCTTCAAGTTGTTGTTTTGTTCAATTTCATTCTAATTATATAACTTGACATATAATCATACAACTTGACTGAGCTTTAATATCTCTGTTTTAATGGACGTTTCGGCACTTCGGCCTTGTTCAGCAAACTGAGTGTTTTGCACCTATRTATATATTCATTCATTCATTGTAACTTTCTTGACGAGTGTGGCCATCTCTGATGAACATACGAAACCAGCTTGTAGCAATAAAACGATGAATAATTCTATAATTTTATTTTATACAATGTTCCTTGACAAAATTGAGCACTTTTTTGAAAACATTTCTTATTAAGCGAACTACAATGTACTCCTTTTTTAACCAAAAGCTGAGAATCGGTCGACCACAATCCAAGCCACTATCGTATTCATTCATGCACAGCTAAAGGTCATGCTATCTTCCTATTTGCCTCTGGTGAATAACTGTCTGTTTTTTTTTAACGCTTCTGTCGAGCTAATCATCACTATTTTCGCTAGTTTTTGGCCGGAAGCTCATACTATATATTTTGGTTGATCATCAACTGTAAGTATATCCGGTACATATAATCGATTTTTTATAATCCGACATAAAGAAATATCAAATAGATACCTTCGATTTTCGATTCGATTTTCCCGATGTCTTCTAGCATTCGTTTCTTTGAATTTTACAAGATCTGTTATTGCAGTATAAGGAGGATTTATAGTGAATATTTGGGTCCATCTTTATTCGTCTGGTCTAGTTTTCCACCCAGAAGATCAGGTCTGTTCAGTTTATTCGCCATGGGTTTCCTGTGCAACTTTAATTTTTTTTAGCTAATTTGCATTGCATTACCAACCAAAGGTACCTTCCCAAAAAGGTACCAGCACATGTACTGGTCATGCACGCTATTACGAACAACAACAACTACAACAACAACTACAACAACAACAACAACAACAACAGCAACAACAGCAACAGCAACAACAACAACAACAACAACTACAACAACAGCAACAGAAACAACAACAGCAACAACAACAACAACAACTACTACAAAACACACACGAGGGGGAAATAGAGAGAGATGGGGGGTAAACAATTGAAAATTAAAGCTAAAAAAAATTGAAAAAAAACCCTACAAAATTAAATCGGAATGGATTATGAGCCGTCCAGGACAAAAGTGTTGATACAGAGTGATCCTTGTGTTTGTTGTCGCTTCCTCCCATCCCCTCCCCTACTTAGTCAATAATTTCTCCATCGCCCCTGTGTATAGCCGTCGAGGTAGAACGGCAGTTGTCATGTTTGATTTGCCGAAATGCATCAGTGGTATTAATAAAAGTATCAAAATGGCGGATGAAGTTTCTTTTTTGCCGTTATCGAGAATAWTTTGRTTGAATAAACGAGATGTCTACGTGCTCTACAACAACACTAAACAACTCTCTAAGAGTTTTACAAAGACCTGGAAATTAATTGTTCTCCTCGTTTTGTAAAATAGCTTTCAGACAACAAAATGGCTTCCCGGCGTTTGTACTTTTGTCAATCCCATAGTGCATCTGGCTGAACACTGCATGACGACGTCACTACTCAACATGGCGTTCATGACCGTAATTAATGTACACATTCTTCAGACGCCTTCAGACTTTCAGTGGTCGAATCGGATATTTTCGATCATAGATATTCTTATTCTTTATTAGTCATCTTCTCCTATATATATGTACAAATATGTTCAGTAAACACGGTAGTATTTTGGAGTYAACAGTTTCTTGTAAGTCAACAACAACAACAATTGTTTCGTTTATGTCTACACTTGACACTGTCAATCAAGGCTTTTCTAAAATCTCGACTGAAGATAGCATATATGAGGACATTAATGGCACTATTGCAGTACGTTAAGATAATAGTGAAGTAAAATAACAGACCATGTATTGGACGAAAATAGCTCGTCACTAACATGGTATAAAATGGCGTCCAACAARCTACAAAGGCACCAATTACAACYARAAATGTCTTAAAAGTCTTAATTTCTTGTCTTAAAGTCCTTGATAACGAGAATCCCTTTCTTTCTTTRCTGTTCCCAGTTGTTATTGAGCGTACTGACAGCTCTGTGGATTGTTGRCTCTTCCTGGATTTKTCGACTGTGAGGCGGCCAGGTTCCTGGACATTAACGTGGATGCGTTTGGTATGGCCTCTAGCGACGATCCAGATACGACCATTGACAAACACCAATAAAATTACTGGTATAATAAACACAAACACAGCGCCGAGTAAAGTCGCAACTGTGTGTGAATTCAAGACGTTRCAATTTGGATTTTCGCTGGTCTTGGGCTGTAAACCCGCCACCAGAATGRCMCCRATACACAGACTTAKTCCCCACGAAAGAGCTATCTTCTTCAGGACCCGATTATCGCTCATGCGCGATTGGTAGAGGAGAGATGACGTCACAGCTACGTAACGATCCCAACTGACTAAACAAAGGTTAAGAACCGACGCACTGCAGAACCAGAAGTTAGCGAGTAGCCAAGCCTTGCACGTGAACGTGCCAAATATCCATTGTCCTGGTAACGAGAATTACATATATGAGTATTTATATAAGAATGGGACATCAGTCGACTTTAAAAACTGGCGCTATATGTCACGGTCGCCGACCAGGGCACTGGGGACGAAGCACTTAAGCGAGGTCTCAAGGCCAGCCTCAGTATATAGTAAACTTCGATGATGTCTTGCAAGAGTACTTTGTTATAAATAACATACCAGTACATCTTTCAAACTTTGGCATTGCCATACATGCGATCTTCGTAGTGTTTTTAAATGGAAGACCTTTGAGGTCTCGTTTCCATGATTTGTCACTAGTCCCTCGATATTGAAGGTCGTGAATTTTTGAAAGTCGTGTATGTAAGATTCATTAAAGAGCTAATACTGATAGAATAGTTAAACTCACCACACATTTCATATGTCAAGTGGTAGGCTAAAGAGATTGGMAGCACTAGTACCCCGACCAGAAAATCCGAGACGGCCAAGCTTGCAACAAAGTAGAAGGCCGAAAACCACAGCCTCCGTGTTGAACAGATAGTCCATAATACTAAGAAGTTACCAATGAGGATGAACACTGTTAAGAGCAACAAAAAGGTTGTAACCATAGCAACCCTTGGCTGGCTGAGGACCTCTTCAAGTGTGAGGGACTGGGAYGAGGTTGATGATGAATTGTTCATTATTGGACGACCTTGGTTTGGAAAAATGAGATGAGAGAGAATGAATGAGATAAAAATCAATTATGCAGAGTGCGAACACTGAAATTATGCAGCATTTTATACCTTTTATAGGTAAACACGCACTTAATCCGTGAAGCTTAAAGTACAAAATGAAAAAATGGTTAGATAGTCATTCACTGTTTAGTGTGGAAATAGCTGATGACAAAAATAGTAGAATTAGCGTACAATCGTTGCCAAAAAGCCTTGGACCATAGAATTATTTGTGTTCCAGCCTAACATTTTTCTCCTTTATTTTTTCACAATTTTCCCCCTTAGCCCCCTTTCATCGATGTTGCGGGTCTTGTTTTGGATGGTTGTGTAGTATGATAACATGCTCAATGACAACATTGCATTAAGGGGAGACCTACGTAGCACGCAGTTGATGTAATGTATTCATAAAATGTATTATTGTATTCCATTGTTTCTCGTTCTATTGTATTATGTGTTTTGTATTGTATCTTTATGAATATATTACATCAACTGAGTGCTACGTAGGCTCTCCCATTGCATTAAGGGGGTCAGGGGGATGAAATTGTCTGTGGGTGTTGCTTAAAATGAGGAAATTCGCTGGAATGGTCCAAGGATTTAAGTAAATTTAAGTAACCAGACACAATAATCAGCCGATTTCAAGAATGCTGCTTTTAAATCAAGTAAATTATTCAATTTTTATTCAATTTTTGAGTGACTGCTCCAAAGTTCGCATATCTAATGAAGCCTTTGAAGTGACATCTTTGTCCTCAGCAAATAATTTTAAGACGAGCGCAAAACTCATGAATATTTCATAGAATTCAATTACTTTATATAGAATCAGCTCAAGTGCCATAGGTACTTTAGGGACTATTTTGAATCTAATATAGTCTTCAATGTTGTTGCAGTTTCAATACTTGTTAATATATACCATTGTGAAAACCATGTCACCTGGAAAATCTTGATGCGACATAAAAATAGGAACAGTTTACGGTAAAAAMTTCTACCACAAACAATTCAATTTTAATTATTTAAAAAAACTTACATTCTATGAAATGCCTTAAATTAAAGCAAAATTATGTAATCTCTTGCTTACTTCATTATAATCTTGTTTTTGAGGAACAGCTTGAAAATACGTAATGAAAAGCTAGTTAAAGCTACGATAAATGTTAGTATTATTTGCACGACGTATTATGACACATGTAAAATTYGACGTTTGATTTATATTCTGTCAGCCTGGTTCAGTTCATTAAGAGTATTTATCTGATATTGACTATTTTGCCACCGCTAAGGATCCGGTTTCGGGAAGGATTTAGCTTTRAAAACTGAACCGAAAGTTTATCAGTTGAACGAAGCACAGCTTCCTCCAGATGGTCTTTCAACACGAAAAAGAAAGAAAGAAAAAACGGAAAGAAAGGCGACATATTGAGTTTTTTTCGATGCTGTTGATTAACTTATAGTCTTGGAGCAAATGAACTCTTTGTTTTGCAATAATAAATATTGAATTCAATTTTCAATTTATTCTAATCGTCAACATTTTAACTGCAAACAACCCACTGCCCTTTTTCACGGAAAACACCGAAAACAATCCTAAATGTTTAAGCGATTGTTTTTACATCGAGTATTATCCAATAACTATTGAAAATGATTTGAAAGAAATTTCAAAATGAACATCTTTTTCAATGAATTACTCTTAATTCTAGTTCACTTTATAGATAAACTCATTATTTCTTCTAAGCACGGCAATATAATACTAGTGACAATTTAGTTTATATATTAGTGAGCAAAAAAGCAATAATAACTCACCTTTTTTAGTGCAATGTGGACATTAATTCATCCTAGGGTGTTTTGTAGCAACTGCGCGCTGTGTCAAGTTCAGCAATTAAACCGAGTGCCTTGTGTCGACTGACTAAATCAAGCAGATGTCCATGAGAGTACTAATGACTCTTTTYTCATTGTGTATGAGTAGTTATACACGCCGTTACCTTGACAGGAGTATKACCTSCGGGCGATATTCTCAATAGGGTGTAGAATCAGAAAACTAAATATTGATTTTAATTATCAACYATGACATGAAAATGTTTGCAAAAATATCGCTAATAATGCTTATTTGGGCGTTGACGCTAAAGCCGAAGCAAATAAAAATGTATATTAGATGCAAAAGAAAACGGCATTGGCTATATTTAAGGTGCATTAATGTAAAATCACTAGATATAAGACACGTGCTGTGTGTGATGTTTGCTGTAAATAAATGTTCAGTTGTTGAAAATGTACAAGATAGAACCAGCATGGAGCTGTGAAGATACCCAACCCGACAAACAAAATATAAATAGATTGCTGTAGCCAGAATAGCAACAATTAGATTTTGAATACTACAAAAAAAAAATTATAATTATTTCCTACTAAGCAAGATATTGGTATTGACTTACAGAATATTTGTGGCATCGGAAGGGTCAAAAGGTAATCTACTACAAATGCTTTGTATCCCAATAAATTGATTTGGAAAMACGCGTTATCGGACGGTTATAGAGTATTTCTAGTCGGGGTCATGTATAATTTATAATTTTTCAAAACTTAGAAACTTACTTCGTCTTTTTGAGCAAATTGAAATGCAGTTACATTGAGTTTGTCAATCATTTTGCTATCTTGAAAACAATGAAACMTTAAAACTACTAATGATGAAATCACACTCTTACACTTGTCTCAGCAATAGCCTCAGGCAACCTGGTTTCAAAGTGGTTCATTGCCAGCTACAGGATGTGGTCGTTACGGTCTGTGAGAAGAGTCAAGTGAAAGCAAAACCTCTTAAAATATCGTCAATTCATGTACTGTATAACGATTGGTTAATAAATTTAGATATGATCAGATAAGGTATTCTGCACTTCTATCGTATATATAGTCATATTGAAATAGAACAAAAGAAATAGAAAGTGATATTCGACCTTTTAACGYGCACTTATAGCTTATAAGCAGTGTTGGACCACAAGGGACCGTCGCGGCAGTGAAAACGTTCCTCTTAGTTTCTGTTGTGTTCTGTTTTATTACTACATGCTTGTTTGACGCTCTGATATATGTTTTACAGAATTAGACAAAACCCAAATAATAATCTGATATTAACTAAAACAATAACCAATTATGGCATAACTCCATACTGAGGGGAATTCCCCATTTAGGACGACCTTGGCTTATTCATCAAATATCGATCACGTGAACATTTTTAAACTGCGTCATCAACTTAAACTAAAGTAATTACTTATAAAAATACAATAATAATGATATTTGAACATTTCACAATCATTCTGTAACTTCAATATTGATCTTAACCCTACAACATAAAAATTGCTGGACATTAAAGCTACTGGTAATTCAAAACTGTTTTTCCTGGTAATCTAAAACTACAGGTACATGACTTGACATATTTCAATTTCTAGATGAATCACTTAAAACTGAGATCTACTATTAACTTATTAACRTTGCATTAACTAATTAACTAATGTCAGGGWGACGTAGTCTAACAGCAGTGTGCATAAAACCGGTCAATTCCTAAAACACACTCAACTATTGTCAGATCAAATCAAGAAATGACGCGGGGCTCTGAGGACTGCACGCAGGCTACGGCGGAGACAAATGCAGTGGAGGCCACTGGTTTTCTTCCATTGGAAGAGCGCGGGAAAAAAATCAGTGTATTTTGATGTCAATATATGTCGACGTTTCCTTGTGTTTTTTGAAAATTTTAACAGAAAACGTTCAGTTCAACGGAAGAAAACCAGTGGCCTCCACTGCATTTGTCTCCACTGTAGCCTGCGTGCAGTCCTCAGAGCCCCGCGTCATTTCTTGATCGATTTGATCTGGCAACAGCTGAGTGTGTCTTAGGAATTGACCGGTTTTATGCACACTGCTTATAAGATATAAATGCATGTTAAAAGGTCGAATATCACTTTCTATTTCTTTTGTTTTATTTCAATATGACTATATATACRATAGAAGTGCAGAAWACCTTATCTGATCATATCTAAATTTATTATGAACCAATCGTTATACAGTATTTTAAGAGGTTTTCCTTACTCTTTTACCTTTAACTCTTAGTGACGTTTTTGCTCATACGTTCATGAAAGTGAGACTAAGTAATGACGTCATGGGTGACCTAACGCATGACGTCATCGATACGGATAAGTACCATTTAGATTCCATATGTGTGGTGGACKAGAAACCGTGCCCAACAGTGCATTAATTAACATATATAGAAAAAATACAAGAAACTTTTCAAGCTGTGTGGATAAAACAAACAGCGAGATATGACTTCTGTTGTCTCAATTCGGAAGGAAATTACTTTGAGTAAATGGAAATGTACTTAGCAGGACTCTTATGCCAGGAGAGTGGCTTTACTTCGTCCAAGAAAATTATTGACAAAAATAGGCTGTTATTAGACGACTAAAATATTCAGYTTTCGAGAACAACATGGTGAACAACACGATTGACTCAAMGGCTTCAAATGGAACAAATTCTAATGCTGAATTAACACTAGAACAAGCTCTAAGCTCCCCTTCRGTTATTGTATTCTGCCTTCTTCTTATTTTACTGTTGATAGTAATCTTATTCGGGAATTTTACTGTCATGAGAACCGTTCATGTRACGCGTAAACTTCATTATTCCGCGTTTTACTTCGTTTTYAGTCTTGCACTAGCAGATTTCCTTGTTGGTTTTCTGGTGCCCTTCTCTATCGCCTACATTGTCACTGAAAAGATGAGAAGTAAGTATTCACAATAGCATTTGCTTTCAGTATCGAATTCATTGTAAACTATGAATCGTATACATCATTTGAATGATTGAAAAGAATATCATTTAATTACATTGTGTAGATTYTAACATATGGTCAATTCTCTTTTGTTATCAAACATGAAAAAATAATTCCGATTTTGATAAATAATCACCCAATTGATCTAGCARTCGCCGATATCTCCATTCTGTCGAATTGGCAGCTGAAACGATCTAAAACTCTCTGATCTTTCGATGTTTTTTAATAAGCGACTGAAACGATTACAATAAGACTTTAAAACTTTTTTTTGCCGTTTTTCACTTTGGTTTCAACAGAAAATGTCTAAAAAAKAGGATTTATATTTTCGATGTTTAATAGCTACGAGTAGATAATACATTAACACGAGGAAGCACTAATTTCAAATGAGCTGTGTAATTCAAATATACGACTCATTAAGTATGTATTATACCTTCTCAGAAAAAGATTTTGCTACGCAGTCATCCGAAAGTAGAAAAATTTTTGCCTCRAGCGAAGAAAGGACAAAAAGATAGAGTAAATRAAGGCATAACTTCAAAATTTGTCAAAATTCCTAAAAAAAACACCCAATATCTAATAAAAATACGTTGCTTCGTTATTATAGGACCGTTATTGATAAGTCTACAAGAATTTCGTGCCTTTTCCAATGTTTCATTTTGCAATTTTTTATCATAGTAGCCTTTTAATCTTTTGTKTGAGATATTATTATATCTAGTCAAAAAGAGCTACGAGCAAATTAGAAAGCCAAGTATCATATCTCTGAATCACCGATGTAAAAAGGGAGGGAACATTTTCCTAATGAAGCCAATTAATAACACAAAAAACCGCGATGACAGCGTTAATGTTCTAAGAAATTATAGCTAACGATCATATTTGCCAAGCAATAATAAATAAAACGACATTTGAATATAAAAGGTAATTTATATAGACTAAAACAGGAAACGGATGACAGGAAAAATACTTAGATTAAGGACTTTATTTTTTCTTTATTTTCGTTTTTAGAGATGATAACGTTGTCATAGTTACGTTAAGCTCATTAGTTTTTCTTCGCGAACGTTCGAAACCACATCAACGTAAATTACCCCGCTATTGATATAGCACACATAGGTAATGGGCCAATCAGCATTCAGAACGAGAAGCCGTTGTTACGACACTCACTTAAAACTTCTAACTTCTCAATATAAATGATGTAATGTTAACAAGATAGATTTAGGGCGACAGAACATGAAATTCATTTCAGTTGATCCCTGCTTTAGATTTTTTTTATAGAACTCCATTCGGATTTAATTTCTAATGAGGGTTGCTAGAGGCCAACGTTCATTGATCCAAGAACCTTGTGCGGTTTTCTCGTATAAGAAAATTCACCCGGCATCTTTGGTTTTGAACCAATCAGAAAGCACCATTGAGATCATTTGGGAAGCAAATCGACCGCAAAGGTTCATGGATGTTCTTAGGCCTTTAAGTTTGACATTSTCAGTAATAACCATTAACTTATGTTCTTATAGATCGCTGGATGGCTGGAGAAATCGCATGCGACATATGGACATTCGCAAATATCTGGTTCGTCGAGGCATCRCTTCTCAACCTCTGCATGGTCAGCTGGGATCGTTACGTAGCAGTGACGTCACCTTTCAGCTACAAAATGCGCATGCGCGGAAAGAAGGTCCGAGTCCTAATCTCGCTTGTATGGTCAGTGTCGCTTGTTCTAGGAGTTCTATATACGTTAGCCTTCAAATACTCTGATGAACGCGAACTATGCAAAGCTAGTGGTCTAAATCTTAGAAACACTATATCTTTTTTCACTATTGTCTACGCTATTCCGACCTTATTCCTTATATTCGTGAATGTCCGAGTCATTATGGTCGCTAGAACCCATCGCACGCATATAAGAGCTCAGGAAGTTAATCCAACTTGGATTACCGAGGGAGAAGGCGAAATTGAGGTCAAAAACGATCGACGAAAATCAGTGTTTTTAAACGAAATCAAGACATTTAAAACAATAGTTGTGATTATTGGTACATTTTTGCTTTGCTAYTCACCGTTCTTCATACTCTTATTGATAAGCAGGTTYATTCCTTTACGAACAGGCGCARCACACGTGACTATTATTTTATTTTACGTCAAGAGCGGTCTTAACCCGATGATCTACGGGGTGTCCAAAGATCTCAGGGTCGCCGCAGTAAACAGCTTAAAAAGGCGACGACAAATAGCAAGTGATGTGACCGACGGCGAGAGGACTCCCAAAGTGAGTGTTATACAAKTACCAAGCCAGGATAACAGAGCTATATCACCGTTAAAAATAGATGATATCATACCAAAGGATCAATCAGCAAGTGAACAAGACTAAACAGTATTATTCAAACCGCAATCGCTTTTATAAAGACGTTTAAAATATTACAATTTTTTGTTTTTTTCTTTTAAAATATAAATATACATATAAATAGTCTAGTATACAGAACTGTACACATATCCATAGGGACGAGGTACCTCATTGCTATCTCAAAAAGAAGCCTTATTACTCTTTAACGTCCCTACAT